CTGCTGCTGCGCCGTGAGTGTGAGCGCGAGAGCGCGTGCGGCTGGGTGTCGGCATAATCCGTTTGTTATGGAAGAGGATATTTGCAGGTATAAATTCAGAGAAAGCTGTGCCGAGGTTTTCTAGACTTGAGTAAGTCAGAAATCTGAATGAGGAAATAGATGTGGAGATCCAGCTGGGGGAACAAAAATGCTCTGTCACTTGTATGTGCTTACTGGGTCATACACTATTATGAGCACTTTACTGGATGTTAATTTATGTAATCCCCATCCCAACCAATGTGGTAGGTGTCAGTGTTATCCTCATTTGCCAGATAAGGAAACAGGCACAAAAAGGTTAAGTGGCTCGTTTACGGTTACACAGCTATGCTGAGTCAGGATTTGTACTCAAGAGAACGTGGCTTCAAACGCAGCTGGTTAACTCTGCCGTCTACTGCACCCAGCCATCAGCCACTGCCCGCTACATCAGACGTCTTCCTGCTCTTGGATACCGCATGCAGACGTCCTGATAAAGCTGGGTGCTCAGCCACATCTGGGCTCATCTGGGCTCCTCCCCTATTTTTTATTTTTTTGCTTGTATACACTTAGTGGTTTATTTGGTGGTCAGTAAGTAATGTGTTTGCTACTAAGGGAAAGAAAGGTAATAGAACGTAATCACAGTAGTGATTTAATTGACAAATTTTACTTGTTCCTTTCCTACTTATAGTTTATGGGGGTGCAAACCTTGCGCCACTGCCCCTGGCCCTCATTACTGTTGGGTGCTCGCTTTCCCCACCTCAGCTCCGGAGCCGTGAGGGTCTTTGGCCCTGGAAGTCTCGGCCAGCTGCTCCTCCATCCTGTCCTCGTTCTCCGGCACCACCAGCAGTCGGTGCTGGGTTTCGGCCCCCAGCTTGTGCTCAGGCCGGTGGTCGGGCCTCGAGCCCGGCCGGTTATCCAACTTGGACTCGGCCTGGTACTTGGTGTCCCCCTCCCTCTCGAAGGAGGCAGAAGACGTGGCCTTGGGCTCGGGGGGCTGCAGCCACGAGTGGCTGAGGATCTCGTCGATGTGCAGCCGCCGGTTGACATCAGGCTGGAGCATGCGGTAGATGAGGTCCTTGCACTCGCCCGTCAGGTTCCTGGAGAGCGGGAAGTCCACGCGATGCTCCTTCTGGATGCGCAGCATCTTCCTGATGTTAGAGTCATCGTAGGGCATGGAGCCACAGACCATTATGTAGAGGATTACACCCAGGCTCCAGATGTCGTACGCCTTGGGCTGGTAGGGGATGCCCTGCAGCACCTCGGGGGCCGCGTACGCCGCCGACCCGCAGAAGGTCTTGCTCAGGGTGATGCGGCCGCTGTCGTCCCGCAGGCAGCGTTTGGAGAAGCCGAAGTCGGACAGCTTGATGTTCAAGTCCTTGTCAAGGAGAATGTTCTCGCACTTCAGGTCGCGGTGGACGACATCCATGTCGTGGCAGTACTGGACCGCCGAGCAGAGCTGGCGGAACATCTTGCGCGCCACGTCCTCGTGCAGGGCTCCCCGGCATTTGATGAATTCGAGGAGGTCGCCCTGGACGGCAAGCTCCATAACGATGTAGATGCGCCCGTCAGATGTCTCGAAGATCTCGTAGGTCTTGATGATTGAGCGGTGGTTGACGGTGGCCAGGATGTCCATCTCCCGTGGGAGGAATCTCTCTGCAAAGTCAGTGGGCGTTTTCTTGCGATTGATGATCTTCACTGCCACATTGACCTTGAGGCGCTCAGAGTACGCGGATTTGACTTTCGCATAGGAGCCTTTGCCACGATTGATCCCCACAATGTAACCCTTCTTCCTTAGGACCGCGGCATCGTCCATGGT